ACGGTGGCCTATCCGGCACCGCCCTATGTAGCAGCCGCACGGCGCCAGCTGCCGGCCCTCACCGAAGCTCCGTCGGTCCTGGCCGTTCGTTAACCGGCAGCCGAGGCTGCCTCCCCCGTGCTGGGGTAAACCGGCGCGCATCGGGCGTTATTTGCAGAATCGGGTCCCGGAGAGGAAGAAATAAAGAAGTGAATTTGCCGGTGTGCGTACCTGGCTGCTCAGCTGGGCCGTCTTCCCCCCAGGACGTTACGCGTCTCTCTCATCTTTGCAAGGTCGCCGACTTCTTGTTTTCTCAAAATCAATAACGTTTACGGCAACTAATCATCTCTGGTCTAGATTTGTTCTTAAATATGCGCGAGTGATACTCTCCTCCCTCTGTCAGCTTCCCACCCGTACAGAAAGCAGTACAACAGTAATTTTCTTTTATTCCAAATAACACATTAAACCACACAAGAACACGCATGTACTTCCTTTATCGTATTTCACTTGAGACTTGAACAACTGTGCAATAAAATGTTAAGAGGTTAGTTGTAAAATGAGCTAAAGGCTGACATAGCTACGTCATCATTTCAGAGGATTCAGTCACCGCAGTGCAGTAAGGGACTTCCTCACAAGCACCATCCTACTTTAACAATCTGATTTTCTGCTGCGTTTTTTCCAAAGCTGCCGCTGCCAGCTCACTGACAGGTGGACTTACCAGCAGTAGCAGCAGTGGCTTGGTCAAGCTTTCACCTCTGTTATTGCAGCTTGCCTGCCAGAGCCATCTGTCACATTTTTTCTATACAGCATTGAGTTCCTCCTCAAGTGTGCAGTGCTGTTTTGTAACCCTTCAGCTGTGATACCAAATTAGCGATATTTTATACACTTTGTGCATCATCTGAACTTCAGTTGTGAGCAACTTTTATTTTCACGCGCAGCAGAATTCAACGCTGAACATATTCAAAAAGCTGGATGCTATTGTAGTCTGCCGTACTGCAAGCCTTAAAACAGCTTTGTTGCATGCCACAGTAGCATTATTATTGTACAGTAGCCAATACCTCTGCTGCCTTCTATTAAGCTGCTAACAGCAATCCTGCAAGTCACTGTCAACTCCAAGGGTATTGTCAGCTAATTCTCATAACGCTTGTGAGAAAGGTCAATAGGCAGCCTCAGAATACAGCTCAGATAGCTAGAAGTGGAAGAGATAACACTTTGGGATTATTGAAATGTTTCATTAGGCAAATATTTTTGTTGGTTACTTTTTTATTTCTGTGTCTATTTTTTCTCTTGTGCTCTTGGATGCTTTCTTTCTTTGCTAAGTATTGCTTCTTCAAAAGCATTTGGGAAGTGTTAAGGGGAGTAGGTTAGACATAGAGGCTTATTTTCATTAAGAGGGAAAGAAGAATCACAATTTTTCTTCCCTGTCTTACACTTCTTTAAAGAAAATGTTGGCAGCATGTTATGTGATGGAGGTGAGAGCTGTGATGGAGTTAGGGCTTCTCTGTAAAGCTTTAAATATATTCTCTGTGTTTGATCACTATGAAAAATATGTACTGTGTTAGTATGTTTTTTCAGTGTAACAGTAGATTTAAATAAACAAATAAAAGGAGGAAACAAACACCAGGAGAAAATATGCCTCATCAAATATTTCTGAGGTTGTCAAAAAGGATGTTAAGTCTAGACAAAGCTGACTCTGGGCACTGGGTCCAAACATATTAGCTGAGACAACAAGGAGCATCTATGGATAATCCTTAAATGTGTCTGTGAGTGAAAGGGAAGAAAACTGAGAGCATGCCTCTCCCTCTGCCAGAGGTTAGGGGGCCTGGGAATGAAGGCACTTACTAGATCAGTGGATATACTAGGGCAGGATAAAGCTAACTCCAAACCCTGTTTGCTTATAATCTGCTTTCCTCCAGTTACCGTTGAACAATATTTTAAGAAAGTTATTTGAAGACACCATATTTACTGCTGGTCATAACTCCTGGAGCCATGCCCAGTCCCATCTTGAACAAGCGCAGTCGCTATGCAGGGTGCTGCAGAGCAGATTTCAGAGCAGAGTGCCAGGGCCCTGGCTGCGTTCATAAGCCCTACTTGCCCTCACCTGAAGCTCCCACAGGGTCTGGGGCACCCACTCCCCACCCGAGCTGTGCTGTAGGAGGGCCTGTGCCCACCTACGTCCCTGCCTCGGTGGATGGCTTGACTTGGGGCCTGACTTGTCCCTTTGCTTTAGCTTGAGGGCAAAACCATTATGGTTCCCAGCCCTGCTCTGCTTTCCTCCCTCGGACACCAGGAAACCGTAGGATGGTGTCCTGCTCTGTGGCATTGTCATCCATGGCTCCAGGCTCACCTTCTCTCACAGAGGGGTCCCAGTCCTGCTGCTCCCTAATGCGGGGAGTCACTGATGTGCCTGGGTCCTTCTCACCTCCTCTTTGAGTGCAGGCCTGGGAAAAGAGGGATGCTGAATTCCAAATAATGTGAACTTCTGAAATGGAAATACAAAATGAAGCTACACACCAAACTGCCTTGAGACTGCAGGAAAAGAAATGACATGAAGGAGAGTGATTAAGTTAAAAACAGAATGGAGGCAGGAAGAGGAGTGACTGTAGGTGTAGAAGCCAATTAGTGTGGGGTTTGGGACTTAACTGCGGAAATGTTCAGCGGGAACATTTCACAAGGAAATTTCTGCTTGTGGTATGTATATACAGAAGCAGATGGGATCAGACAGTGATGATAAACTTTTCATACGCTTTTTAAATTCAAAGAATTTTAAAAATCTAATGGGTTCATGAGGTGGGAGGAAAGGGATGAAACAGAAATAGTAGCATGCAGGGGTTTATATATAAATGTATGCAAGTACTGCTAAGGGATTGAGATGTGGGTGAATGTGTGGAAAAGGAGACAGATCCGATGTGCTTAAAATTAGTGGGATCTCCGTGTCAGAACAATCAGGTGATGGCTCATTCTGGTTGCTGGCATTCACATGCCTCTCCCCTGACAGGGCTGTCCATGCACCACCACGGACCTGGAGAGTCTAGTGAGATGGAAGTTGGAGGTGCCAGAAACTGGCAGTGGGCATCCAGGGACCAAGGTGCTCACACTGGTTTGGACAAGTGAGGGGGAAGAGGATACACGAATGCTGAGTGTCAGAGCAGATGGAGTGGTTCCACGTGAATGCTGATGGCCAGAAAACCCTTTTTTTTTTTTTTTTAATTTCTGCTTATCTTTTACTCTAGTGTAGAATGTTTATGTTTCTTTCAGTTTTGTCTTAAAGGATATGCTCATAATATGTTTAAAAAATGCACTCATGGCCTGGGGTTACAGAGCAGAAAGGGCTAGGGACCCTCATGTTTGTTTACTGCACAAATGGGTGCATCCTGCCACTATTTGGTGTGTGTTAGTTTCTCAGGGCCCTTTGAGGCAACTTGGCTTGTCTTAAATCTCCTGGAATCTTGCAGAGCCAAATGCTGTTTCCTTCACACATGCCTGGTATCCATCCAAGACACCCCAGATATCACTTAGGAAGGCTCACACTTATGTTCTTGTCATTCTCTGAACAGTCATGCCAAGAACATAGCCAAGAGATGGACAAAAGGTACATTCAGCCCGAAAGTGCCTGGGCAAGTCTGCAAGTTCCTAGGAGGTAAAGGTGGGCTCTTTCTCTGTGCTCTGTGACAAGCTTAACGCTAATTCAAGCTGGTCCTGGTAAGCAGTGTCAGTTTGTATGTAAATGGTTTCTCTTGTGTTTCTGGTCTCCCAAGGGGGTAAGTATCCCTGGAATGCTTTTAAACATGGGCCAGCTAGTTTCTTGCCAACAACCTCTCTATGGGAGAGTGATGAAGTTTGCTTGCATCCGACAACAGAAAATGTCTTTTGCATTTAAAACAATGAAGTGGTTTTGTGTGTGTATTTTTACAATGTCTGACTGTTCTCTGTATGGTGCCTATTCTCTTGGTGCCCTTTGGGAATTCCTCTAACTCCATGGCTTCTTTCCTTCTCTCCCAGCCCACTGGATATAACAGGGAGACCTTTTATATTCTAGGGCAGTCTCTCACGGACTGTAGAGCAGTTGCCAGATCATACTTCAGAGAAGTTCGATGGAGAATACAGAATGAAGCAGTGGATCTGTCTCTCGGATTAAAAGACCCAGATAGGAAAGGTCTGGGAAGTCTATGGATGGGACCTGGTGTATGCATTGGGCAACTGCCAGATTTGCCCTGGACTCGCTGCTAGCCAGAAAAGCAGATTCCCACCTTCACCTCATTTTCTTCACCTGAACCAGCAATGATGGGATGGAGTATAGGTGTTGTGTGGAACTGGAACAGGATCATCCCTCCCAGGTTGGATGCTCGCACAGAAGACAGTGTTATCTGTGTCTCCCGTGGTGGCAGGTTAGGCTGCGTGTGTCCTTGTATCAGGAATGCTGTTAAGAAACAATATAATATTTGAATTTATGTCTGCTGGATGATACCTTGTTTTTTCTAATGTTTCTACAAGGTACTATTGATAGGGCCTATCCATTCATAGTTACTTATCACTATTCTCATGTTTCAAAAGAAAAGAACTGAAAAACGTGCTGTCTGGTACCAAGTAGATGACATACCTGCACTATTGCGCCTGGTTAAGAGGGGAAGCGCTGTGGAATTGCAGCCCCGGGCGTGTGGAAGCTCATTCACAGGGACAAGAAGGGGACACAGATGCAAAAAAGTCACAGCACTGACAGCACGTTCCCCAAAATTGTCTGCAATAACTGAATCTGCTTTCCCTTAGAAACAACAGAAACACATATAAATAACAGGTGGCAAATGAATATTGGTGGCAAAATTAATCATTAAGAAGTACCCCGGAACACCACATGACAGCAGGAAATCAATTCTATGTTTTTTTGCATTACAGAGTGTGGGAGGAACCGGAGCTGCTACTTTTCCCTTAAGATTGCTACTTCATCGTGTGCCTAGGCTGGGACAGAGCAAGGGCCACATGGGAAGTATCAGTTTGCATTTATTAAATTCTTAAAGTTACCGATTTTATGACCTAGACACCTTTTAAAAGGCATTTTGATTTGTAACGTCGTCCTGCAACAGCATCGCACTCGTCACAGATCGTTGGTACCCTGGCAGCGTTTAGGCATACACGCAGGTGCCAATTCTCATAACGCCCCTCTC